TTGTCAATAAATTAAGAAAATTCTAAACATATAATACATTGTAATTAACCCTAAACTATATAAAAATAGATGTAATTGAGGGCTCTCAATTATATTTTCTTTGGTAAACTATGCGAATAGTCCCTTTTGTTTAGGACTAAAAAAACACCCCTTTTCTTTGGGTAAACTATACTAATAGTCCCTTTTTGTAGCATTTTTTCGCGCCAGAAATATTTTTAGCGGCGCTTTAAAACGTCGTTATAGGACTAAAAAACACCGCAATAGACCAACTCTGTTGTAGTGTTTGTCAACTTTGGTAACCAATTTAGGGGTAAATGGTTCCAAACATTATCAATCCGTCTGGTTTAAGTCCCTCTATCATTAACCCTTAACGAATATGTGACATAGCTGAGGGATTAAATCGAACAAGAGTTAACGACTGAAGGACTAAAATCGAACGAATCGATAACGTTAGGATACATGGTCAGACCGAAAACAAAGGGGACTGTTTGCATAGTTTAACCCTTTTTATCTTTTGAACAATTTCTACCTAAGTGGAGGGGAAGAAAAATTTTACTTAGTAAATATTGAACTCCTAATTTAGGGGAGACTATAAATTTTTAACCACATTCTCTAAAGATCATTTACAATTATACCTTTAAATTTATAGGGGGAAGGATAAAAAATAGTGTAATAACTAATTTAAGGTTATTATAATTGCAGTTTTATTATTGCACAATTTTTATAAAATGCTTTTATAATTATATAAGTGTCTAAACGAACTCTTAAAGTTTGAAATTTATAAAAGAAACACAATATATTAATGAAAAGCCCGCGGGCTTGCTTTGGTAGGGTTCAGTACCCAAATACAAGTAAAAACTCTATTCAAAACATTCAAATCAGTAGCAGAGATATATACAAGGAGATATATAAAGAGGCCATTGCTTGCATCAACCAGAAAATTAACCTAATTCCTTCATTCTTTTGTTCGTTTTCGTTTTAACTGTGACTGTTACTGGCTGTGATGACACAAAGGCCGGACTTACGGCTGCTACCGCTCTTTGGGATGGTAGTAGTATGATGTTTGTTGCGATAAGGTGTTTGTGCTGAGCCAATACTCTTTTGATTTCCTTAGGGTTTACAAATCCTTATATGATAGTTGTAGAGATGCGGCAGATGACTCTTTTACTGGAGAAATTCAGTTCTTTTTTACTAGTATTCTTGATTGTTTTGTTTGGGATACTTCGATCTGCAGTATGGAAGGAGCACCCTAGAAATTTTAAATTCTCACATGATTTAGTTATTTTATTTGTATTTTCTATTGATGATATAATTTTGCAGCTTAAATTTATTTGCATCCCTGATATAAAATATTGTTTTTGTCCTCGTCGATGTGTATTTCACTATTAATTTCACATATGGCATACTAGGGGTTCTGTGATTTGGTATCTTTAATTGCTCCTCTGTTTGTTTTAGAGGAAACGCTATGGTATGGGGGACTTTACAGATCTACATTTTGCATGGCATCGTCGATACACGGTCAAGTGAATTCTGATATACCAACAAGCATTTGGTTTGACCTTGATGCCATTGACTCCATTGTGTGAATCGGTTGAAATTGACTTATGTGATCACTGATCATGGTAAACTGTATGCACTTTCCTTGTGAAAGAAGAAAGTATAGGTAAAGATGATGAGGAGGCTACTGATGAGTGCAGTGTTGTATATCTTTTGGGAGCTGCATGTTGTAGGCTTAGTCGCCTTTGCATGGAACTCATTGGCTTGTTATCTTTCAATTTTAGATTGGAAAGGCTCTGGATTGTTATTCAGTCTTGAGTTACATATGTTGTAATGAGTGCTTTTAGCTTGGGATTATGCTATATATCTTGTGATGGTGAAAGAGGATGGTTGTTCACGATTTGTCTTTTAAGTTGTGTTGAGCTTAAATCACTGCAAAACACGTGGTTTATCGCCTTGTTATATCTTTGGCAGATGCATGTAGTTAGAGTTTCGGTTCTTATGGTCAGGTGATGTGATTAATATATACCTATAGTTTGAGATAAAATTGATTTCAAATTCATCCAAATATATAATTGATTTTAGTTATTATTTAACGTAATTTCTTTTCAAATGTATGATAATATAATTTGGTTTAACTATCTGATTATCAGGTGATGTAATTAATTTCTTTTCAAATATATAATAATATAAATTGAAATGTTTGGAATCAATTTAAGAATGTTATAATTCGGAATGAAATTAAAGTATTTAAAATTTTGAGGATTAATTTAAAAAGATGAGAACAATTTAAAGATGAAATTAAAACATTAAAAAAGTATAGTAATTAATTTAAAATGATAGTTATAGTTTAAAGATGAAATGTAATTTACTTTTTCTTTAAGTTAAAAAAGGTATACATTTTAATATTGTGTTAAATATGAGACAAGTATCATGACTTTTATATACTTTATATTCTTACGTAATCACTTTCAAACAATTTTAAATTGTAAACTCTTAACATAAAATTATTTATTTGAATAAAAATTAGATTACTTAAAAACAAATATAAACAGTTACTTAAATTGTAAACAATTTTGACTAAGATCTTTGTGATTGTCTTGTATATTACAGAACAACAAGAAATAAGCCGAAAATCTCTAACATTGTTGGTATTTGGGACTTTTGGAACCCCGCTATGGTAGTAGCATTGAATGCCGGAAGGATGAATGTCTCTTGAAAGAAGTATTTAATAGCTTTTACGACGTCTTCTCCGATCACCGACCAAGATTTTTTGAAAAAGTATGGAGTGAATCCATCAGAACTTGGAGCTTTGTCATTTCCCTGGTTGAAAATTGCTTCTTTGATCTCTTCACCAGTAACTTCCTTTACAAGATTGGAAGAACAATCTAATGGCAAATTAAATTGCATTAGATCTTTATGAAGATTAGGGTCACAGTTTTTACCCCGGAATCTGCCGTTCCTAAAAGACCCGAGTAAAAATTAGTAACCTCGGAAGCAAATATCACTCCTAGATGTTGACAAAGGAAGAAATATTGTTGACAACACCCTCCTTACTCAAGAACTGGCGAGAGGCTACGGAAGGAAAACTATCTCTCCTAGATGTGCCCTGAAATTTGATCTACAAAAAGCTTTTGACTCTCTTCACTGGGGTTTCATTTCTTCCATCCTTAAGGCTCTACAACTCCCTAATTCTTTCATTGGTTGGATTGAAACCTGCTTTACTGAAGCAAGATACTTCATTTCTTTCAATGGAAGTTTGATTGGCTTCTTCAAAGGTGCAAGGGGAATAAGACAAGGTGACCTCTTTCTCCTATCTTATTTGTTCTTGCAATGAATGTGCTCTGTAGAATCCTCAACATGGCTGCTGCTAAAGGTTTGTTTGGGTGCCATCCTAAATGTAAGAAGATTGTCCTCACTCACCTTTCTTTTGCAGATGACCTACTTATCTTCTGTAAAGGAAACATCGAATCTGTTGCTGGAGTCATCAGCGTCTTGGACAAATTCTATGAAATGTCTGGTCTAAAACTTAATGCTGCCAAATGTGAACTATATACTTCTGGTATCTCAATCGGAAATCTCGAACATATTCTACAATCAACAAGATTCAAACATGGTTGCTTGTCGGTGAGATACCTAAGGGTTCCTTTAGTCACAAGAAAACTCACTGAAAAAGATTGCGTAGTTCTTATTGAAAAGATCAAATTAAAGCTTCATTACTGGTCCAAAAAACACCTGAGTTATGCAGGCATATTAGAACTCATCAGAGCTGTCCTATTCAGTATAACCAACTACTGATGCAGACAATTAATTCTGCCTCAGACTATTATTTACAGGATTGAGCAATTTTGCTCTAGATTTTTCTGGAAAGCATCTGAAAAGGCCGCCACTGGAGCAAGAGTCAGCTGGCAAAAAATATGCCAAGCCAAATCTAAAGGAGGACTCGAATTAAGGATATCAAAACATAAAACAAAGCATATATGATACAACTTATCAGGAGCATCCTTGCTGGAGAGGGATCATTATGGGCTGCTTTGATTAAAAGCTACGTTATCAAGGATAAAGACTTTATGTTTATGGAAGATATGGCCAATTGTAGATGGTGTATCAGGCGCTTATTGAAACTCAGGACAGTTGCCATCCCTATTTTATCTACAGGAGCTACAAAGACAAATGATTTCTGGAAAAAACTTCGGGTAAAAGGAGATAAAGTCTCATGGCACAAATTGATATGGTTTCCTCTACACATTCCAAAACATAGCACGATTACATGGATGACGCTTCTTGATAGACTCCCAACTAAAGAGAGGCTTCTTAGAATAGGAATCACTACTGACAGCTCATGTATACTATGCAATGAGGCTATGGAGACTAGGGACCACCTGTTCAATGAATGCCCTCATGCAGTTTCCTTGTGGAATGATATCCTGAATCTCTCTGGCTTATGCACTCCTCGTTTACGATGGGTGAGCATGTTAGACTGGGCCTGTAGTGCTTGGAAAGGAAAGTCTCTCCTCACTACTACCTTGAAACTTGCTTGGTGCACTTTCATCTACTCACTGTGGGAGGAAAGAAACAAAAGACTGTACCGATGAACCACAAGAAGTGTGAAAGAAATGATGAACTCTATTAAGGAGATTGTACGTATCCAATTAAGGAAATTAGATAATATTAATATTTACCTATGTAATCGTTAGGGTGTTGACCATCCAATTATGTTGTAAGTAAGCAGTCCTTTATGCCATTGTTGGGATAATCTTGTATCATTTATCCCATTGTTGGGATTTTTTCTACATAAGAACTCTGCATCTTGGGTAATAAAATCTAAAATTATCCACACAAAAAATAAATTGTAAACAATTATATATTTTTGTATTTTTTTAATTGTCTGAGATGACTATAAAGTAGTGTATGTTTATAATTTTTTTAACTAATTGACAACACACATATTTTACAAACGTAATTACTTAAATAATAAACAATTAAATATTTGTATATTATAACTTACTAAAATTTTTCATCATACCTATTAAAGATTGTGCAAATTGTTTATATTAGAACGGCTCACCCTCGGTTATTTTCGAGTTCATTGGTTGATCCTCACATCACAAACAAAGTGAAGTGCTTCAGTTTATTTGTACAAGTCGACGAGGCTCGTTCGTTAGGGTCAGGAGGAAATCCTCTAATAAACTCAGACCTGTCCTGTCCACCAGCCAGACCCGTAATTAGTCTCGGTATTCAAAGGTTTTCCGACAACAAAATCCGTTGCTCTCGATTAGTGTCATCCCGATATAGAACTCGATGGAGATTTTCAACCCTCGCTGCCAATTCTGAAAGCCGTGGGTGCAGTGTCCCGAGCTTCGACTGTTGAGGTTGATTCTTTCTTGTCCAACCCGAAAAATGAGCAATTTTGAAATGCATCCAGACTGCTGGCTATTAGACGGTTCAAACTTCCAAGGCTATCACCTAATATCAAATCTTCACTGTGATACTTACGAGATTGTGCATCGAGTTCTAGTGGTCCTAAAGAGTAAGGCTGCGATGTGGAGAACAAGAAAGATAGTCGGTTGTCTAAAGAATATATGACTTATTAAAGAAGCTCCGAGTACGAAGCCTCGGAACAAAACAAAGGAGCTTTCCTAATGCTATCAATGGCTTAGAAAAGATAACATACCCAATAAATGTCAGTCAGCCCATTGAAAACCTTTTCTGTAGTATCCATAATGTGGGGATCAGATCGACGCTTGTCCACGAGGTCTTCACAAGCAATATCTTCCGCTGTCTCCTCTCGATCAGGTGACTGCATGAAAAGCATAATAAACATTTTTTAGGCTTAGTTAATTATTCCTCAACCTAGACAATCAAATTGTGTGATTGGAAGTAAATAAACCTCTGTTAGTGTGTCAGATCTTGCGATCTGTTCGCAGGCTGATGGGTAAGCAGCATCAGATAATCTAGCAATGTCTGTACTAGGATTACGATTCTTTGAAAATAAGAAGGCGTCACATGTTTCTTCAGCATCCCAGATGGAAGATGCACGGGATGCCAATGATGGAACCTCCTTCTTGTTTTGATGCTTAGAAATATGAGCAGCAATAGCTGCATCGAAAGAGTCGCAGCTGAATGGAATCTGCTGATGACATAATGAGCTTTCTGGAACAGGGTGGTCAGCACAGTTATCATCGAAGCTGTGAGGCACTTCTGCAAGAAGATCTCCAACACTTATGTTTGTCAGGCTGTCAGCCCATTCTCCAGCAGATAATGCAGCAGTGCTATTTTTCAATCTCTGATCATCCTAAGCAAACAAAAGAAAGTTAAAATGTCAGAAACATACGGTAATGCAATATGTAGACTCTTCATGTATACTAGATGGTGGATGTTTAAAGTAGGCACAGCTTTTCTTTGAAAGAAATCCAGAAACAACCAGGTGGGCAGAGGAAAAAAGAGAGAATTTGCTTGACATCTGGTATGTTGGTTGAAAGGGAAGCCCATCAAGAACTAGAACTGAAAGGATAATGTGCAAGTGTCGAAGAATTTTTATGTAAATAGATTCCTATGAATCCTTTGGTGCTAATAGTAAAATTCAGAAGAGATGATCTAATGCACTAGCAGATAAGTTCAGTTATTTTGAGCAGACTATTTTGTGAAGCTCAGGGTAATGAATAAAATTCATTGATAAGTCTAAACAAAGGCTAACAGATAACCAGAATTATAATAATAAACACAAGACACGGAGCTTTGGGCTAGAATAAGTTGGAAAGTTTTAAATCATAAGCAATAGCTGAAAATCTCAAATAGATTCAAATTCTTTAAGACATGATTGACACTTACCATATCCTCCGATCGTCTCAAGATAGCAACATTGCAAGCCTCACTTCTATCTAATGATGCATTTCTTGCGGGAACATGGAAATCCCTGAGATTATCTTTAGAACTAGTGTTAATGCATGTATTAATCTCGTGAAAATCACCTGAAGAAGGTTCAAGGACTTGATTTTCTTTCTGTAACATTAACTGATTCTTGCAACAATCAGCAAGTTTCCAACACTGATCACCATCAGATGAGACAGCTTGTACTTCTTCCCCAATTTGGCCATTACTACTTTCTAGGTTCATATTATGCAAACTTGGAATGTAGGATGAGGAAACAGGTGCTTGCCCCGACAAAGATGCAATTTCAGCATCAGAAAGCCAACCATACCTTTAAAAAGAACATATTTATCGGTACTTCTTATATATCACACATGGCAATGAGATCTGACAAAAAATAGACGGGAAATAACCTTAGGCGAAATACTTGGGGGCTTCCCACCATTGCAAATACATCTGCTGCACTGAGGATGGTTGCTTGAGTCCATCTCTGATGACCCCTAAGGTTTTCTCTTTGAACACCATAAGGGAAAAGCATAAGCTTTCCTGATGCTATACTTGAGTTTCCCCATTTTCTATTCAAATGCTCTAATATTGATGATATCTTCTTTCGTGTACTAAGGGTGAGTTCCAAATGTGGATTGTGTTTATTCTGACAGGAGAGAAAGACCAATTATTTCCTTAAAATGCCTGAGTTATAATGCTTGATGATTTATCAAAATCATTAATAATTTCCTTTAGGTGCTCACCATTTCCAAGGCTCTTCTAGTACTGTCATCAATTGGAAAGAGTTGGAGCTTAAGTTTCCCAGCAGCATGTATATTGTTCTCTGTGAAAGGGTTTTGAGGGAAAGTAGGCAAAGGAGGCTCAATATTTTCAACTGGATCAAGAATCTTATGCCCTGGACCTGGTGTAGAAAAAATTTGGCGTTATGAATTTTCCCACATTCATGGTAATTTTTAATTCATTTCAAGGAAATACTTGATAAATTGATTAAGTTCAACATCACCTGCAGTATCGTTCTGTTCATGCTCATCTTCTTTGTCATTAATCGTTCTCTCCAAATGCTCAGCAGCATCAGCAACCAAAGACACTCCAGCAATTGCAGCCTTTTCCCATTTTTTATATGCAGATGATGAGGCACCTACAAGCATTGTATAGAAAAACAAGTTTACCTAAATGTGAATGGAAAATGAACATTGACAGAAATGGCCATACAAAGCAAGAACAGAATCGAAAAAGAGTAAAATGTAGGTTATTATTACGAAAAAACCGGTAATGACTATTGACATCAACAGAAATGTTTATTATAATACTGAACATCTATAACATCATGACAGAAATACATAAAAGTGAATGTAAATGTTGGAAACCCAATTGTGCTATTGTGCTACAAGAATCTGGAGATATAGTTTCATTTTGTTTATTTATCTACTTGGGCTGGGGGGTAAAATTACCTGGTTTCCGCCGTTGTCTTGCCGGTTTCATGGTATTTGACTCTCCTTTACTGTTGCTACGACTGACACCTACATTGTTATTACGCTTAAATGACCCTTTCCCAGGTCCTAATTTATGAATGTTTTGACTTTCTACAAGAAACAGTTTGACCATATGAGCATCATGTCCCAAAGCCCTACTCTGATTTGTGAAATTGTTTGGAGATGTAGGTGAACTATTCTCCCCTTGACAGGATCGTTTTCTTACATTCTTCTTCCGGTCTTTCAAGAGTTGATGCTCCTTCATAGGGACAACAGAAAAATCAGTCCAGAACAAGCATAAAATGTGGCATTCAATGGAAAGGAAAGCAAAAATGCGTTACAAAGATTTTTCTGACTAACCAAAGCTTCAACAAAAATTTTAAATCTTCGCGGTTTTAGATGAAGCTTAGAAGCTCTGCAGCTATACTTTTCCAGCAGAGACCACCTGTAAAAGAAGAAGGCATTTTAAATAAAGAAAAAGAGCCTCAGTTAATGAATCTTTGTCATAAAATGATATCATAAAAACTCCTTTAATCAGGTTTCTAATCCTCGTGCTTAACAATGGGCCATAAAGAATGTTTGTATCATATTGATATGTGCCAATTGCAAGGTATGGGACTTGGATCCCACATACGAAAAATGTGAGCTTCCTTGTGGGGTTTATATGAACCTAGGCTCTCCCACCTCAATAGCTATCTTTTGGGGTGTGGTTCTCCAAAGGTCCATATTAAATATGCCCTCAAAATGGATATTAATCGAAGATTCAACATAGTTATACACCTAATATTCAAAGGGCATCTACCACTTGCGGGTAGGCGGCTTATTGCGTTGAAGTGGGTCATCCCAGTTCAACAACTCTACTCTCAATAGAAATAAAGGCCAAGTCTAAAAGAGTTTTAGAATGAAGGCAAAGTTCCCAACATTACCAGCGAAGCATTGCTGCATTAGTATCTTTAGAGTTTTTGGCATCTAAACATAATCGCGGACCCAAAAGTTTATTCATGCGCCGCACAAGACGATAGTAATAATGCCTGACCTACAAATTCAATAAGAAAAAAGGCACATCAAAATATTGACAAAGGAACGTCTGACTTGTATCAATAAACAATCAGAATAAATACAGTAGCAGATCACCTGATCTTTGTTTTTAGTTTGAACACGACATGTGATCTTCTCAAAATTCTGCAAGTACTGTATGTCAGGAAATATTATACAGAAAAAAGTTAAAAGCCAAAACAAAAGTAACCTTGACATACCTTCCCAACTTGTCGTAATGCAGTGAAGAAACTCTCTTGCTCTTGACGTGTCCAAGCAGCCCACTGCCGAGTAGGCTTTTTAGCTGCATTAGATCATTCATACAAAAATTAAAGGCACAATCACTACTTTCCATAGATGGTGATTGTGCATAGACAGAAACAATGAAAATCATTATAAGGAGCATCAAAGTGCATTCACATACCACGTTGCTCTGGCACAGTACTATTTGAAGTGGATGAAGATACATCATGATCTCCAATCTGAATGGGAACATTTTCTTGATTATGTTGTGCTTCCGACGGTGAGGAGACCAGTGACAGTTTGCATGTTGACGGCATCACATGAAAACTAATACCTCCTCCTCCTTCAGATGCGTATAAAATAAAGAAGCTCTGTCACAATGAATTAGTTTAAGATCATATATAGAAAACTGGAAAAGACAAAGAATAAAGGAACACAAATCATAATAGTCATAAATAAGCAGGCTGGAAGACCTCAAGATAATACAGTTAAGCATAAATATCCATTTCCTCAAGAAAGTAGTGAAAATAAAAAGTTTCCCCTTTCCGACTCTCAACAAATACAAGAGATTCTTATTGAAAGATAGGATCATGAATGGCTGCACAGAACCAATCAACAACAATATTGATCAGTTTCCTATCATCTCGTATTATACTGTAAATTTTCAAATCAATCAAAACATTTAAAAACATATTTTTTTGGGTAAATGGTAAAAACAATTTTATACACCAGTGAAGCAAAGGCATAATCCGATAATACCATTTGAATACCTATTTTTTTTTTCTGGATCAGAAACCTGTTGTCATAGTTAGAAACAAGAAATTCAAAACCAAACATGCAACTAAGTGAACACCAAGAACGCCTTGTATCATCCAATGCGACTATCATAGTCAACATGTTTATATCTTAATACACAAGCAAATGATTATTTGATTTTTCTGGGTAAATAAATTCTTCTTTCAAATTTATTTGTTCAATTCAATAAACAAAGTGCAGAACAATATTTATTTACATTCAACAACAGTGAAACTAAGTAACTCATTTCAATGCATCACGCAACCGCTCTTCATATTAGAAGAAACTAAGAATATCATCCCAAGCAAAACATTCTCTCTTAAGCAAGGATTTAAATCGCCGTTGCGGTCGACAATAGCGGGTTCTATTGCTGTCATTGTGGGTATTGCAGTTGTGAAATAACGGTTTCGGACAACACCTTTACCGCTATATAACGGCCAGTGTTCCGATAGCGGACTGCTATTTGAATCCCTGCTCTTAAGCATTCATTATTTGTCTTGATAACATTTGAATTTCCTTATACCAATAAACCCTAAAACCAATAAATTCTACGTCGGCATACATCTGCTGACAACAGAATTCAACAAAAAGGAAAAAACTATACAGCTTTAAAATATGCAGACTTCAAAAAAGGAGGGAAAAAAATAAACTGTCCAGTTGCTAAGAAATGCGAGAAACCTTAAAAAAAACGAAGATTGCTAGCCTAATCTGTTTCAAGCGCATTAGATCCAATCAAGCAGAGAAAGCTAAAGTCAACCGTACAACTAGTTGACCAAATTTAATTCCAGTTTTCCACATCAAAATAAACTAAATAGGAGAAAGAAAAACATAAGAACATACAATAACTTAAACAGCAAAACAAGAGCTAGGGTTTCAAACTACATTAAAAATTGATCGGCAAAAGCTTAATAACACACCCAAAAAAAATAAGAAAATGAAGAAGAAAGTAAAGTTAATTTGAAGATACCTGAAATAGTAAAAAGATATATGGAGGAATGGAAGAGGAAAAAAAAGGTTCCCCAGCAGAGCTCAGATTTTGAACAAAGAAGAAAAGCTATTGACACCGGAAGAATCTTCCGGCAGACGTCTACGGTGGAAGCGGATTTTCTTTAATTTTTTTTAAAGTTTTTGTTTTAAAATTCTTTTTTTTCTTTGAAGAAAAAGAAGTTTATTTGGTAATTTGAAAGAAAAATAACAAAGAAAATAAAGTTAATATTTACTTTTTATAGAAAGAAATAATTTGATAAGCGTCGGCAAATATACATAAATATTTTCTAATATTATTATTATGTTGACGTGAAAAAGAAATACTGGAATATTTCTCTATATTTTTCTTATTTTTCTATGTATTTTTATTAAATATTTTAAACACGAAAACGCATGTACACGCGATTGAAATAATAATAAATATATTCTATAAAATGGACAAGTTAAGCAATTAACAAGTGTAGCAAAGATAGGGCACATGACGTGCCAGGAAGGCACGTAGTAAAATGGATTCACTTTTTTCTTTTTTTAAGAACTTACTTATATTATAATTACATTATTTTTATTGAATATCTAGACTATTAAAAGTTATAAAATAATATTTAATTATAGGATATTATTTTATTAGATCCTTCAACTAATTAAAGTTATAAAATAGTTATCAAATTATTCATATGTTTCAAACTCGTCATTTTCTATTAAAAGTTGGTAATCATTTGAGTTGGACATTAACCTGTTGACCTATATATGATAAAATCTGATCATATAACTGTTTGAGTTGTATTTTGTATATCGACTCTTTGTTTATATTATACTTTTGAACTTGTAATTGAAACATTATGACGTCGAGTTAGTGTTTGAAATATATAAATAATTGGGTGACTATTTTGTAACTTTTAATCTTCGAACTCAAGAAAATAATATCCTATAGTTGAGGGATTATTTTGTAACTTTTAATAATTGAGGGACTCAACAAAACACCACCTTTAGTCAAATGATCATTTGTGTACACTTTAATAGTCGGATGACCATCTAAATATCGTCAGATTTCATTTTGACCATCAATGTTTTAATTTAATCAATTAAATCATCCAACTATTTAAATGTTTTAGTCAAGCCACCTGCAGTTAACATTTAACAGAGTAGGTGATGTGACAATTAAAACATTTTAGTATAATTATACAATTGGTCCCTATTACTTAAATATTCTTTCAAATTGATCATAATTTTAATAAATTAAAATAAATTTAAGCCTCGAATCAAGTAATATCATGTGTCATTGATGACAAGTATCATCATTCGATTGGAAGACTAAATTTATTTTAATTTATAAGAAAATATATAAACACACAAGGGGCAAGTGGTATTGAAGATCCCTCTGATGATGTAGTAAGCGCCAACCCATTAAACCAATGCCATCATTTGATATAACGTAGACAACAAGTAATATATATCCTTCTCGCACTAACATTACGATCGATGTCATGGTATTATCAATATTGTTTGTCGTAAATTGACCACAATGTGATATTTTTTAGTGATGTTCATGTTGACAACTAAAACGATTAAGGGGCTGTTTGTTTGGCTCTGAATGGAATCGTTTAGCTCTGAATGGAATCGTTTAGCGCTGAATGCTAAACCGTTCAACATTCAGTGTGTTTGTTTCACATCACTGAATGATTCAATGTTGATTGATTCAGCAAAACAGTGTTGAATAATTCATCATCAAAGTACATTCTGAATGATTCAGAGTCATTATCAAACAGCGTGTCACATTCAGAGCTAATTCATACAGAGCCTCTTAATCATTCAATATTTGAATCATTCAACGCTTAATCATTCTGAAGTAAACAAACCCCTAAATGATTTATTTGTCTAATTATCTTTATTTTGAATAAAAATTTAAATAAATTAGGATTATATGAGATTTTTTAACCTCTTTTCTTCATCGTTGTATCATCTAAGAGCTTTGATCCCTCATCATAATTATGTTTACTTCATAAAATGATATTCATCTGTTATTATTTTTTTTTTAAAAAAATCCACCATACGAAGAGAGTGAGACCTCATATTCTTAAAAATGGTCTATGCCATTAAAGCTACACAGTAATTAAAAAAAACACTAAAATAATTTATCAAAATCAAAAGAACCAAGAAGCACCAGTGGTCTAGTGGTAGAATAGTACCCTGCCACGGTACAGACCCGGGTTCGATTCCCGGCTGGTGCAAGCTGATTATATATATTTTTAAAATGAACTTTTCCTTCATCCTTTGCAGTTTTGAAAGTTGGGGTCTGATAGATAACTCTTACTTCATTCATGTGTGTGCAGAAAGGTGTTTTGTGTTCATTGAAATGTTATTTTGTTTAGTCGAGCAACAAACAGATAGAGGCTTTCAGAACATTAAAACTTCCTCTTAATCTAATACAGCAAATCTACCTTATTTTTTGTGTTTCGGAGATATTTCATGTTGAGGCAATTATCCCCACATGGAAGAAATACATGAATGGAGGCGCCTAGCTCCTTTCCAACTTACTTACCTGGACGGGGTTAATGAGTGATCAACAAGGTTCATGGCCTAGGCATACGATCTCCATTGCACTTTTGCAGGGCTGCTTGCCTAAGGTCTCCCCAAAGCGGGAGATCCTACGTCATTATATGTGGTTTATCCCTAGATTTGCCAAAGGTCTCCAACTACACCAGTAAAACCGTTAACTGCAACCACTCTTGCAGTAACATGAAAACTGTATTGGTTAGGTCCCTCTCAATCGATTCCATCTAAAAAATTATCAAGTATAAGCATATGTAATTATCAATTATTTAGAAAGGGTGCGCCAGTTCGGATACAATTCGATGATAATAGGGTTTGATATTAGTATTTCAGTAATATGGTCAGTGAGGATAGTCCATTTTCTGCCTCTTCCACCCGGTATGAGGCATGTCTTCAGATGCTCTCCTTGAAGCTCATTGAAGCTCAAGTGGATTTGGTGGAATCCTCTAAAGTCAAGTGAAATTAAAGGTTATCAAATAATCGACAATATGAGACATAAACAGTAAGCTCAGAATAGGCAACTATAGTTAAAATCGAGTCCATAAATATGTTTATTGTATTTGTTTTCTGTTTGTGTAGGAATGCATCTTTATAATTGTCTAAGTTGTGAATTTGGATCAAATAGAGTAATTGGATTACATGTCACTTGTTAAGGTATGCTTTGATATGTTTTGTTATGAAAATTCCATGTTTTGATATACTTGAGTATGTTAACATATTGTGGGGAATTGATATCCTTATGACAACTTATTAAATTGCCTTGATTTAGCATGAAAATTGAGCTAAAAGCTTTATCCGAGAAACTGTAGTGGTATATATGCTAATTGACAATGTAAATGTCAATTTTTGGTATTCGATAATATGCTAAAACGATCCTGGATATTAATTAGTTTCGGGTACAGTTGACATGACATAAGATCTATAACACTTATGTACGAATTAATTGAAGATTTTAATCTTGACATGACATAAGATCTATAACACTTATGTACGAATTAATTTAAGACTTTAATCTTGACATGACATAAGATCTATAATGCTTATGTACGATATATGATTACCAAATCTCGAAGGTTATGGACATGCTTATGAAAATTGGACCCACTAAAAAACCTAAATGGGTCGATACATTTTGTTATCGTTGTAACGCAAAGATGCAATAGTGGAGGAGAGGTCTCACATTCCCTTTATTTTTTTAATCTAAACCATTTTATCTTTGTTCAACTTTTTAAAAATTTCAAAAGACGAAGTTTATGTGTAACATCCTCAATATCGGGTTAGTGACTAAATTGAAAAACTTCAGAATTTGTTGGCGAAAGTAGATAAATTGAATAGTTTAGGGACTTATATTGTAAATTTTGTATAGGATTAAATATTAAAGAAAGGAGAATGGAAGGGCAAAATGGTCATTTGATAGCAAGATAATTAATTTGAGAGGGGTTATATATTAGCAACACGTGGGAAGTGAAGGATTAAAAGAAGAGAAAATAACCTCAGTGACCGAAAATTCCTTATAATATACGATTTTAACCAACTTTTTTACGATTTGCCAAAATGACCAACAAAATCGCAATGCGATCTCTAAATCGCAACGCGATCTCCATTATCGCAATTCAGTTTCCAGATTCGCAACGCGATTTTGACCATCGCAATGCGAATATGTAAATCGCAACGCGATAGCACGTGATCGCAACGCGATTCTGACTATCGCAACGCGATAATACATGATCGCAACGCGATTCTGACTATCGCAACGAGATTCTGACTATCGCAACGCGATAATACGTGATCGCAACGCGATTCTGACTAACGCATCACTGAATTTCAAATTCGCAACAGGTTTTAGTTTCACAACACAAATGGGTATATAACTACTACGCAGCAGCATCAACTCATAACCTAAATCCCTAAATCGTAACTCATTCCATCTCCATCTATCACTCTCTCCGACGACATCCGTTCCTATATCCAACGACATCCTTCCCCATCCGGCAACAGGTTTTAGTTTCGCAGCTCGTTTGTTTAGTAAATTAATTTACAATAATGAAATCATCTAATGTTGAACATGTTTGGATATATTTGTGTTTTGGAGGGTCATGGGAGAATGTTCATGGTGTTTTACAATATATGCCTTTACCCATGAATCTTCAACTAAAACTGTCATTAAAAAAGTTAACTTATGAAACTCTAATGTTATGTGTTGCAAATAAATTGAATTTAGAGCCCTTAAGTGGATTTAGGCTATCTTATCAGAGAAAATGTAAAGTTTATTTGTTAACCGACAATGAAGATGTTGAACGATTCATTGCTTACATTAGTGTTTCGCAAGATGACGTTACATTGTATGTTGTTGAACCTAGAAGTAGTGAAGTTGGGTCAGTAGCGGGTAGTAATCAACTAAGTTTTTCAACCCCAGTTTATGGTGCTCAAAATTTAATGGTTCCACCACAATTTCATCACCAAGCAAATTTTGTTTCACCACATTTCCAATACCAATCACAATCTCAAAACCCACAACCTTTCCCTAATCCAAATCCCAATCAACTTTCAGCACCAAATTTCGATTTTCGTATTAACCAGTTAGACGATGACGAGCCAACAGAAAAAATTGTGAGTACTAGTCG